AGCACTGGGCTCTAATCTTTTTAATCCTTTACGATGGTTCTTTCTCTTACCTCGGGTTTTCCTCACAAGCATATGTAAAATACTCAAGAAGACCCTTCATAGATCTTTGGGATTCTCTTGCTGTGTATCTCTTTCCTCTCTGATACTCTTTCCTGTGAACTCTAGCTCCCTGGATTTCCTTGGCTCTCAGTGTTGTCTCCTCAATTCAGGGAGTCTTCTGTGCTTCTCTTGGTTTCCCTCTCTCTGCACTGAGACCTGGAAACTGTCAAGGCAGATACCTGAGGCAATTGTAAGACCTACCTTATTTGTATCCTGTTATGATCACTGTCTTTCATTGCCTTGATGTTCAGTGTCCTTGAAAACTGCATTTCATCTATTTCCTTTGTCTTTTTTTGTTGCAGGTGGAAGGGTAAATCTGGTCCTCATTACTCCATCCTGACATGAAGTGGGACAGTTCCTCCCCAGCACCCCCTGCTTTCTTTTGATTAAAGCTTTTTTCCCCCCCTGTATAGAAGCTTAAACTTTAGATTTAGTTAGATTTGTTAATATGTAGTATAGCGTCGAGATTAAGATTACAGATCAGTCTGGCTTTTAATCCTGACTCAACCACTTACCAGTTGCGTGATTTTAAGAAAATTATTTATTTTCTCTGTCCCTTCTCTGTTCCCTCTATTTCCTCTTTGATAAAATGAGAAGAGTAACAGTACCGACCTCATATGATCATTATGAGGATTAAACTAGGCAATAAAGTACATAGAACAGTCCCTGGGATCTATTAAGTACTTAGTAAGTGTAATATATTGTCATTATTATTTAAATGAGCTGTCTGCTCTTTGCCATCACCTCAGTATATAATTACTGAAGCCTTGTTATATGCTTTATTATTTATTGGGCTACTGCCCCCTCTCCCTACTCAGGTCATTGTTTTTGTTTTTAGTTCAAGGGTTCTTATTTATCTTATATTTACTTTCTAGATCTTTGCTACTTAAAGTGTGATCCTTAGTCTGGTAGCATTGGCATCACTGGGAGCCTGTTAGAAACTCAGTTCTAGGGCTCCTGGGTGGCTCAGTCAGTTAAGTGTCTGACTTTGGCTCAGGTCATGATCTCAGGGTCCTGGGATCATCCCCCACATTGGACTCCTTGCTCAGCATGGAGCCTGCTTCTCCCTCTGCCTCTGTGATCTCTTTCACTCTCACTCTCTCTCAAATAAATAAAATCTTAAAAAAAAAAAAAAAGAAGCAGCAGCAGCTCAGTTCCAGGCCCCACCTGAGATTTACTGGCTCAAAATTAACATTGTAACAAGATCCCTAGGTGATTTCTATCTACGTTAACCTTACCGTTTGAGAAGCTCTGCTACTGATGAACCGTAGAGTAATTCTGTATCTCCTCTCACAGATAAATCCTGGTGAGATTTTTTGATTAGAATTGAAACTATTTTAAATAATTATTTTTGGTAAAATTGGCGGCTTTAGATATTTTTTAGTTCTGCGACATGATGTATCTCGCTCCATTTAAGTCACTCACCTCTTCCAGTTTCCTATAAATAAGTCTCACACATTCTTTGGCATGTTTGTTACTTTTATTGATACTGTGTATGGGATGCTTTTCCCATTGTTTTTCATTTTTTTAAAATAGGAAATCGTATAAAAATGCACAAAATATAGTAGTACCAAACATATATGATCACACATATCTACCGTCAGAAAGGATAAATGTTAGCATTTTGTCATTTTCCCTTTAGCTCTTGTTTTTTGGTTACAAGAAAACCTTAAAGTTGAAATTCCTTCTGTTTTCTTTTGGTCTTATTCCCGTTGCTCTCCAGAGGCAACCATTATCTGATATTTAGTATGAATATTCCAGACCATATTATTATATATTTACTATATGAATGAGCATATTTAAATGATATGTAGTATTGTTTTGTGTATTTGTAGTTTTATGTAAATGATAGAAACTGCGTATTATTCTGCAGCATAATTTATCAATCAGTATGTTTTTTGAGACCTAGCCTTATCAACTTATGATTTAGATATCTAATTCATTTCTTTAGTTGTTAAAAAGCAAAAAATAGAATATGCCAATTCTGTCCATTTCTTTATGGAGAGATGTTTCAGCCCAGCTGTTTTGCCATTATAATTAATGTTAGAATTCTTGAACGTGTCTCCTGTGGACACATGCAGAAGAGTCTCTAGGTATATATTTAGAAATTCCTCCACTATCAATGCCCAGTGCTTAAAAAAAGGACTGATCCATAAATATTTATTGAATGATCAGTTAGACACCCCCACCCTATCTAGTCAACTGCTACTTATAAGAAACTTACCCAAATCTATGTTCAAGAAACCATGCAAGGTGCTTCTCTCCGTTGGATACCAGTTCTTTTCTGAGTCTTCCTTTCTGAACCTAGAGGGCCATTCTGTTGTCTAAGATTTTAGATACTGTCTCATTCTAGTTTTAGTTTTTCTGATTCTCTTCTAATGGACTGCTGCTCTCCTTTTATACACATCATTGGTTTTGTGCTTTCCCACTTACCTTTTAGTTATCCTGATTCTAAAAATATGAATTATGTGTACATAGTATAATTTTGGAAAATATGTAAAAATGCAAAGGGCATTAAAAAAACCATGAATCCTGCTACTCACGTATGCTGTTGAAAGCTGACTTCAATAGTGAATTCTTTTACAGAGGCAGCACAATAGAGGAAGGAGGATAGACTTTGGATACAGATCTGGTTTTCTACCCCAGATGTGCCTTACTTACTAGCTGTGTGACTTGGAGCAAGTATTATTTAGTCTGAGCTTTGGTTTCTTTTTCTTTTCTTTTTTTTTTTTTAAAGATTTTATTTATTTATTTGAGAGAGAGAGAACGAGAGAGAGCATGAGAGGGAAGAGGGTCAGAGGGAGAAGCAGACTCCCCGCTGAGCAGGGAGCCCGATGTGGGACTCGATCCCGGGACTCCAGGATCATGACCTGAGCCGAAGGCAGTCGCTTAACCAACTGAGCCACCCAGGCGCCCATGAGCTTTGGTTTCTTTACCTGCAAAGTGAGAATAATAGTACCTCCCAAGTAGGGTGTTTGTGAGGACTTGTAAGATGTTTGGTAAGTTGTAAGTACTCAGCAAATGTTGGTTCTCTAATGCTTTCCTTCTTTAGATGCTTCTGGTTTTTTAGATTCCTTGCCCCCCGTCCTTTTGTGGGATTGTTTGAGATAGTAGAATCTGATTTTCTTCCATTCTCTTCTCTAGCCATAGGCTGACCAAAGTTTTCCATGAATCTTAGAGAAATTTTAAGAGATATTTAGATCATGTTCAATTTTGCTAGTGTTCCATGTTTTTACTAATACATATTCCCAAATCACCCAGTCACTCTGGTCCAAGGTTTCACTTCTGCATCGCCAGATACTGGTCCCTTATCGTTGGCGTGGCAGTTCTCATGCCTCTTCAGTGGGTAGAGAGTAATGCCTGTCTCTTATAGAAAATTAGGTAAATACAGGGAAGTAAAAAGAATATATAAAATTGCACACCGGTTGATATTTTGGCATTTTCCCCCTTTTATGTGTGTTTTAATTAGAGATGTGAATCTACTGTTCATGATATATTTATGTTGTGAGAGCTGAAAATATTGATAAAATCTGACAGATTTTCTGTGCCTTAGAAGTAGTTGTTGGAAAGTTCAAGGTTTGAGATGGGTGCGCTCACATATTTTGTTCTGTCTGTAATAAAATGTGATATGGTGCACAGAAACCTCATTCCCACAATTCAGGAATGCCACATACTTTTTGGCTCTCTTGACTTGGGTTATGAAAATTGTTTAATGTAAACCTACTTCTCTTAGCATCTAAAAATATCTGTATCATTTGAGCCCTGGTCTTATTGTTTATTATTTTCAATATATTTATTTGGCACTTTTAACAAGTTTAATTTACACCTTTTTTTTTAAATTTCAAACAGAGTTTTCTTTCTTTGATCCTAATGATACATCATGCCAGGAAATTCTCTTTGATCCTAAAACTTCTGTATCAGAATTATTTGCCATTTTAAGACAGTGGGTTCCTCAGGTCCAGCAAAACATTGACATTATTGGAAATGAGGTAAGGAATTCTTCCATTTTACATTTTGCATTGTTAGGATTGTTAATTGTATAGATGCCCCCCGCCCCCACCAAGCAAACCCCACCCTCTGAATGGAAAGGTGGTGATAAATGAAAAACCTTTTAAAGATTCTGATGTTTGTTCTTTGTCTCTCCAGGCTTTGCATGGGGCAGTTGAGTTAGTATTGTACGTTCTTTCCATTGTTCCCTCATGCTCCTCACTTGCTTACACCTGGAGTTCTGATGTTAGAGACTCGGTGACAGTGGCATTTTCCATCCTTCTTTCTTTGTACACATTAATTTTGTAGACTTTAAAAAATACATTTCATGAGGAAAATTGATTACCAGCATGTTTTATCCATACTTTTGGGTGGTCTGGTAAAGATGTAGGCTTAAATATAGTTTTCAAAAATATTTGATTTTTTGAAGGAGGGAAGAAAGAATAACTGGGTTTTTTGACCTGCATATTGTCATGTGGTTAAGAGAGAGCTTATATATTTTTTCAAATACCATTATACCCATTAGAAAGAAAATTCTGCTTATCCTTTCAGAGGCTAAGGGACATATTTGGAGTGCCAGATTACCTTGGAATAGTCTTTAAGAATTTCCTTCAGTCTGGTGACAAATTATTTTCATTATTGCTATTGGGTGCAGAATTTAAAATTTATCTTTAAGAGAAGCCAGTTCTAGCTACTCATTTTATTGAGAACTAATTCTGATAGGATGGACTAACTTGGTTCTCAGCGTGGGTTTGAAATCAGTTTTCGGTCATCATGTTGTCATATCTTCCTTGGTTTCCTCAGATTCTTAAGAGAGGCTGCAATGTGAACGACAGAGATGGATTGACAGATATGACTCTTTTACATTACACTTGCAAATCTGGAGCTCATGGTATTGGTAAGTGTGTGGCAAATCTGCTGGTGGCTTAAGACATCTGTATTTGTGTTTGTATAAGCTATGTTATGCCCCCAGAGACCCTGGGAGGGCACCTAGCTGATGATAATTCCCCTGAACAGGCAAGCATTCAGTTGGGTCCTCCCAAAAACCTTGTTCCCTTCCCCCACCTTTTCTCAGGGGTGGGGGTCTTTATAGTCTCCTAATACCTCCCAACTTTTCTAGAGCAGGCTTCATAGCTGCATTCTCACTAGGTGAGAGTAACTGATAGCACCCTAGAACATTCCTGAGAGTTTACAGCAAGTTAGACAATCTAAGCTGTTTTCCAAGCATCCCAATCCTCACAGACCCCAGTCTTTAGGCCTAAGGAGTATTCCTGTATACATAACATATACGCATATTTTCCCAGATTGGCGTTCTGTGCTTTACCATTGTATAAACCTGCCTCTGTTACTTAACTATGTACTGTGAATATCTCTCCCTGTTTCAGTAGTCTGATATATGCCTCTTAAGCTGTTGATGGTGAAGGACTTTTTTTTCTTATAATCCATCATGGACTGATTGTAAAAAAAAAAAAAAAAAACCAAATGAAATTATAATAGAAAAATGAAATAAAGACATAAAATACAAGCCCAGTTTTTCAAAAGGCATAAACTTCCATTTCAATTAATATATTCTGAAGAAATTATTGCATTGGGAAAAAGAAAAGGGTTATCAAAAGGACAGAGAAATGAGTTTGGGACTGGTAGTGGTCCACAGAACACACTGAGTAGCACTGGTCTAGGGCATTGCTTTTAATGACTTTATAGTATCCTAGTATGTGGATGACTTATGATTTATTTAACCAATATCATATTATTGTACTTTTAGAATAGAATAGTTTATGTTTATTTATTTATAAAGTAGTTTAGTTTCAAAATTTTATTCATAATAAAAAGTGCTGTGATGAACATCGTTACAACTAAGTGTTTATCCATATCTCTGAGTATGATTGTTTTTTTTAGAACAAATTCCTTGTAAGTGAAATTTTTGAGGTGTATGTGTAGATTCAATATGCTATTTGCTTTGGCTTTTTAAATAAGTTAGTAGATAACCATCCAATGGAACTTCAGGTTGTACTGAAGGAAAATAATTTAGAAAACTTTCTTTAGGTGATGTTGATACAGCTGTAAAATTTGCAACTCAACTTATTGATCTGGGAGCAGATGTTAGTTTACGGAGTCGCTGGACAAATATGAATGCTTTGCATTATGCTGCTTATTTTGATGTCCCTGAGCTTATAAAAGTGATTTTGAAGACATCTAAACCAAAAGGCAAGTACTATAAGATCACCAGTAGATGTTATTAGTTGAACACTTTATTAGTGGCATAAAAGTTAAAATTCAAAGAGATTTCCGCTTGTAATCCATCTTGTTCCGTATGACCTCTTATCCCATTTTTTTTTCAGAAATAGTTTAGTATTTCTTTATTGAAGATTAACTGCTGTTGTTAAACAAAACGCCTAGTACAAAGAGATACAAAGTAAGATAGTGTTCTCTGGGTTTTTATACCTCTGCAAATTCCCCAGTATAACATGGATTTTATAAAGTGTAATTGAATCTATGTGCTATATAATTCTTTTGTCTTGAGTAGCCAGAAGTAGAACAATAAAGCTTTTAGTGCTAAGCATTGAAATCATAAAGAGTATTTTAGATGGCATTTGGTTCTGAAATTCTCTGATTAAAGAAGGATACAAATTCAGGTGTTTTTTTTTTCCCCTTCCTATTTTGATAGTGATATCCTAAAATTGAATATCAGACTGTCTATATTACAGTGCTGGTATTTTGGCTTTCTCTCTGGTCCTCTCAGTGGGTCAGTTTTCTATTGAGAAAAATATGAGAGCAAATGCAATAGTATTACCCTAAGTTAAAGGTGAGCAGTGTACGGTGTTTTCCCCATTCATAGAAGACTTGTTTTAGAGATTCAGTAGCTAAATTTCCCAGACTGTTTCTCACTCTGCTTTGTATAGTCATCCATTTTATCTTTAACTTTTACCTTTTAATTTTTGATTGATGTTAGGAAGAAAGCCTCTTTTGATAGTACAGTGTCTTTAATAACTCAGGAAGGTTTGTCCTGAGCATGTCTTAGTTGTTCGCAATTGTAGGTAGGACGTGGGGCGGTGTGGTTTAGATTAAGGTAGGATTAGTAGAACCAAATGTATTAAACTCTTGTTACAGAAAACATGCAAAATGGGATTCCCAAATCTGGAAGATTTCTTGTGTCTAAGTATAGCATCATGGTGATTTATTGAAAGTTATTACAATATCCTTAGAATTGCAAGATTCTTTTTTCCTACCATGAAGTCCAAATTCATTTGTTAAATAAAGTATTACGAATGAATATGATTTGTAAGCATTTATATGTTTAATTAGTCTTTAACTTATTCCCTATTTGCAAATTCTGCATTGTTTTACCTACTACATTTTATGTGAAGGACCAGATGGGAAATACTGTAGGCTTTGTGGACCACTGCAGCTACTTGATATTGCAGTTATGGCAGGAAGCTAGCCATGGAGAATATGTAAATAAATATTTGTGGCTTGTTCTGGTAAAACTTTATTTATAAAAATGGGTGGTGAGTTGTGTTTGCCCATGGGCTCGTTCCTGACCCAAACCTAATATCTCATTGTAGCTGTCACGACATATATGCAAGACATTAATGAGAGATTGTGTTAACATCATTACTTTTACAAATGATAATTATTGCCATTAATTTCTTTTAAATATAGTTTATATAATTTAGTTTGTGGTAGTTGGAAAATCTATGATAATACCAGTCCATGTTATAACGAAATTTTATGGTACTGAGAAAATAATTGGTTAACCAGATTGTAGTATGAAGATTTGGTTCCATCATGAAATGATGCTTCTAGTGGCTGGATTTAAGTCTCAAAAATGGCTTAATAAAGTTCTCCCTCCCCACCCCCAACCAGAAAAAAAAATCCTACCTGTCTCCTTTTATATTATAATAGCTAAATTTAAATTCTTAGCTAATATACTTGCGGTGTTTAATTGCAGATGTAGATGCCACTTGCAGTGACTTTAATTTTGGAACAGCTCTGCACATTGCTGCTTATAACTTGTGTGCAAGTACTGTGAGATGCTTATTGGAGCATGGAGCAAATCCTGCATTTAGGGTAAGAGGTTAAACTAAAAGTGAAAAATATTATAAAAGTTAAAATGTCTAACATTATATTCTAGTAAAGAGTTGAATCTGGATGTTGTTATGGAACTCATATGAGGAAGGAATTTATTTGTGCTGCATATAAAGAATAATGGTGATCAACTTTATCTCAAATAAATATAATGCATAGCAGTGAATTTCAGTCCCCTTATTTTGATAAGCTCTATAAAATTTCCTTTCATTCAGTGAAGTAAAATGTTCTGTAGTGTGTCATCATCTTTAAGTGTCTTTCATTTAGTTTTTTGATATAAAAAGTTAACTATCAAATTAAAATGCGTATGTTAAAGTGATATTTCTATATTAAATCGTATTTTAAATTCTTTTGGAAAGAAATTTTATTCCAGAATCTTTTTTTGTTTTGCAGGTGACAGGATCTTTATTTTTTTTTTTCAGAAAATTTTTAAAAATGCACATTTAGGAGTGCAGTAAACCTTTAAAAATTAAAGGAAAAATGAGTTTTTTCATGGTAATCATGTAAATTAGTAAATTTACAAAGTTAACACACAGGATTGAATTTCATAATCTTCAAGTCTCTTGGTATTTTATTGTTTTTACAGAGTGGCTCTCACTGTTCTTTTCCTTAATATGAATAACAGTGACTTGCTCTGGCAGGAGTTCTTAATTGGGTCTGGGCCTTCCTTTGAAGGGACAGGGGAGGGCAGTGTTTGAAAAAGCCTCTTCCCTTCCCCTTTTCCTCTCCCCCTCCCCGCTTTCTAGTTTCCCCTCTCCTCCCTGCTTCTTTCTGCCACTGTTCTTTCTGTTTTACCCCATCATTAGTTAATTAACCCTTCTCCCCTCTTCCCTTCCCCAGGCTCCCCCTCCCTCCTTTCCTATTGTTTCTTGGGCACAGGGAGAAAACAATAAATAAAAGTCACTGTCGCCAAAGAGAATATAGTCTAGAGGGGAGGATGGACAGGTAATTTTGCTGTAGTGTGTTGGCATTCAGTGGGTTACGATGTTGGGCAGAGTGCCATGGGTCACAGACAAGGGCAAAGGTGACATTGAGCACTTAAACATAGTTAAGAACTAACCAGTTAGAGGAGGGAGGTGCGAAAAGCCTTTTAGGCAGAGAGGAGAGTAGCATTCACCAAGGCTAGGAGATGATTCCCCAATTTGGCTGGAATGTGAAGGTGATATATTTTTGCTTTTCCTAGTACGACTGTTGACAAAACCTCCTTAGTGGAGAGATTATTTTTTTTTTAAGATTTTATTTACCTATTTGTCAGAGAGAGCACGAGAGTGTGAGCACAAGCAGGGAAAGCAGCCGGCAGTGGGAGGAGCAGGCTTCCCGCTGAGCAGGGAGCCCAATGCGGGGCTTAATCCCAGGACGCTGGGATCATGACCTGAGCCGAAGGCAGACGCTTAACGGTTGAGCCACCCAGGGGCCCCTGTTATTATTGTTATTTTAACAGAAGTTTTAGTTGCCACATTCTATAGGAATTAACATAAGTGTGTGACTTACTCTAGAAAGGTGAGGACTTAAAAATCTAAAGTAAAAGAGTCCTTGACTATGGACTCTGAGAAACTAACTGAGGGTTCTAGAGAGGAGGGGGTAGGGGGTTGGGTTAGCCGGGTGGTGGGTATTTAAGAGGGCACATTCTGCGTGGAGCACTGGGTGTTATACGCAAACAATGGATCATGGAACACTGCATCAAAAACTAATGATGGTAAGTAACATAACATAATAAAATAAAATTAAAAAAAAAAGTCCTTGTCAATATAGCTTACAACTTATCAGTACAAGGTTTAAAAAAAAATCCCCCCTCTTTTTATCAAGAGTACACATTAGTGCTATACATTTATTTATTTACATACCTTTATTATGTTTTGTATATTTTCTTTGAAATCTGAAATTCTTTAAAACAGTCCCATCACTATCCCAGAAATTTAATAACATGTCTCCCTGCCATGTTTTTACTTAGGACCAGACTGACTTGAATTTTAAAATAAAAACTGTGAGGCACTCAAACTAAGTGTGTTTTAAAAACCTCATTCTTTCATCCAAATGGAGCGTTTGAAGATCATTATCAGCAGAGAAGACAAGGAAAAGAATTTTCTCAGCAAAAGAATCTCGATTCATCATATTAAAAGAAGATTACAGTGTGGAAACTCTCTCATAACATCTAAGTTTTTTTGGCTAGGGAATATAGAAGAGAGATACTGTGTTTGAGGGAAGGATAGCCCTAAGTAGGAGAAAGGCTGAATGTAACGGGTCCTAGACATGGCTTCAGATGTCCCTTCTGCCAGGAATCCTGTAAATGACTTTGAAGGAGTCATTAACCTTTCCTTACTGAGTTTCCCTAATTGGCAAACCAGAAACGATAGTAATATTTTACTTGTTTAGTTGGTTATTGTCTCTTATGCTACAATATATACTCTCGGCCTGGATTTTTATCTGTTTTATTCATAAGCTTTTTCTTGATGTGCAAATCAAATGAGATAATTTATGTGATTGGATTTGGTTATATAAACACCATACAAACGTTAGTGGGTTTGTAACTGACCATTTTATCTTGTTGCGGGATTAAATCCAAGGATGCAGTCTCTCCTTTATAGTGAGACCAGGGCTGTTTTCTTGATTATAGCACACATTTTAGAAGTATTGAAGTATTGAAACTGTAGTTTCTATTCCTGGAATCCACACTCTTTCAAACACTCACCAGATTCTCAAGTCTATGCTCCATTTGGGTCATCCACACTGGAACGTAAGCCCCATTAGAGCAGAACACTGCTGTCACAGGACCTGGCCCAGTGCCTGGCAGTTAATATGAAAAAATCGACCTACACTGGAAACAAATTAAGGCTTTGCCTGACCTGATAAGTTGTTTAGATGGTAATCTACAGTTAGCATGAAGCCACCAATGGTGGGAGCAGGGCACCGGCCTAAAGGACGTAGAAAGGTCACTAGGGTCATGCAGTAGAGGAGGATGCATTTGAGGACGGGGATCTGAGGCAGGCAGCCGGGCTTACTTAAGTCATTAAGAAATGACAAGAGTCTGCTCTACCCAGTGGCAGCATGAATGTAGATACAAGACAAAAGTCACTCAGTAATGGGGCACCTAGGTGGCTCAGTCAGTTAAGTGTCCAACTCTTGGTTTCGGCTCAGGTCATGATCTTGGAGTCTTGGGATGGAGTCTCATGTTGGGCTCTGTGCTGGGCATGGAGTCTGCTTGAGATTCTCTCCCTTTACCTCTCCCTCTGGCCCCCCACCCCTTTCAAATAACTCCATGAGTGGGCAGGATGGATCAGGTTACACGGCCGAGACAGCAGAATCTCTGATCTGGGGTTGGGAGGCCAGTCAGTGCTGTGACTTCTGTCTCCAAACCTGCGCGGCCAGGCATGCTGTCTACTCATGAGCTCAGCACTCGCGCTTCCCTGACCAGCTCGCCTGCATGGTGCTCCCACATCTCCTCTGGCCTGTGAGTCCTTCCCCGGCTGCCCTGCCTGCATAGACGCCACCCTCCGGGTCTTCTCCCCTTCCCTGCCTGGAACTGTTTTTTTTTCTGCCACTTTTTACCATTTAACATACCATCTCTTTTACTTGTCTGTGTGTGGTCTGTCTCTTGCACCAGAAGGTGTGCTTTCTGAGGGCAGGGTTTTTCTCTTCAGTGTGGTATCAGTAGCATTTAGAACGGCATGTAGTAGGTGTTCAGTAAATAGTTTGACTAAATACACGATGAATGAATTGAACTTAATTTTTTCACCTTTATTTTTAAAAATAATTGTGTATGACTGTGTAGAGCTGTGAGTTATATGGATTGAAAATGTTCTCTGTATTTGCAGAATGACAAAGGACAGATCCCTGCTGATGTCGTTCCGGACCCAGTGGAAATGCCTCTGGAGATGGCCGATGCTGCCGCCACTGCTAAAGAAATCAAGCAGATGTTGTTGGACGCAGCGCCCCTGTCGCGTGACCTTTCAAAGCCCCTGCTTCCAAACTGTGACCGCGTCACTAGCAAGGCGATGCTCACATCCCTCGGTCTGAAGTTGGGGGATCGCGTCATTATTGCAGGACAGAAGGTAAGGAAGTAACGGCCGTCTCTGAAGCTGGGTCCGAGGTCTGCAGTGTGCGTGGCCCGTGTGCCACGGCTGCAGCCATACACTGTGGACAGGGTTTTGAGTTTTTTTTAAAAAGTGCAGTGTGTACATAGAAACAGACTTAATGGAAACAGTGAAACTGAGAGGCACGCTTACCCTTGGACGGAATAATGAAGGCCTCTCCATTGGGGTGGGGAGAGTGGGGTACAGTAGGGCTGCTGAGTGCATTAGGAGCCCTGAGCTGAGACATCGCTGAGCCTGGAGGGGTTTCCTTGCAGCCCCCCTGCCGCCCTCACTGGGTTTTTCCCACTACAACTACCTCGCAGTAATGGAGCAAAGGAGACTCTTGCCATTCATGGATGTTTGGCCTTGAGATCCTAGAAATAGAGAAATCTTAGATATTATTTCAACCTCATAATAAAAATGTATGTGGAAAAGATGACCCTCCTGCCCCCCGCCCCCCACCAACCCAGCCTATTGAAGATGCTCCAGATGCCTCTTTTTCTCCAAAGCCCCAGAGTCTTTAGGGCGCTGTCTTGTTGCCATCCATTCTCTCTTTTTTAAATACCTCATAGGGAAGGGCTGTTTTGTTTTAACTTTGGGTTTAATAGGGAGCTGGGTATGGAGAATGGAACAGGGAGTTCCGTTATTTCCTAACACAGTTATGTGTAAATATATGGGTGGGCTTGTGGGGATGGTGACACGGGTTTTGCAGAAAATGCCAAAATCTGGAAGTTTGATTTACTGAGAAAAATGCTCCAGAAAGGAAGGTAAACTCCAAACAGATGATTATGTTGAGAATGACATTTTCCAGCTTCCAAAAGAATATATTCATAGGACATTTGTTAGCTTTTTTTTTTTTTTTTTAACTTGGGATTAATGTTCAGCCTCTTCAGTATTCCCATCCTGTGTCTGAGAATGGATGTTTAGAAGAGTTATTCTGTTGTCCTTATTTTGGAAAATTTGAAGCTATACAGAAGTAGAAGTGTATAAGGTGCATCGGCTGGGTTTAACCTGATCGTCTCATGGTCAGTCTTGCTTCCGTTATACTTTCTTTCACTCTGTTGCTTGCCTTTTCATCCTCTTAAGAATGTCTTTCAGAGAGTAGAAGTTTGAAATTTTGATGAAGTTCATTTTTCAACTTTTTCTTATATGGATTGTGTGTTTAGCATAGCTAAGAAATTTTCTACAGTGTCATAGGACAGTGGAAGATATAGTACATGGACTTTCTCCCAGAATTTTATAGTTTTAGGTTTTACATTTAGTTTTATATTTAATTTTGACTTAACTTTTGTACAGAATACTAGGTATAGGTAGAATTTCTTTCTCTCTCTCTTTTTTTTTGCATCTGATTACCTGTTTGTTCCAGCACCATATTTTGAAAAGACTGTTCTTTCTTTCCTAAATCGCCCTTGCCCCTTTGTCATCTGACCTTAGGTGTATGGGTGTATTTCTGGATTTTATTCTACTCCATTGATCCGATGATTACCCTTTCTTCACTACTACTCTGTAATGATTGCTCTAGCTTTATAGTAAGTCTTGCAATCAGATGTTGTTAGGCCTTCAATTTTTTTTTTTTTTTAGTTTCTTTGTCTTTCCATGTACATTGTAGAATCAGCTTATGGATTTTCAAGTCATACAAAAAATCCTGCTGGGATTTTGAATGAAGTCGTGTTGACATAGATCAGTTAAGGAGAACAGATATCTTAAAGATATGGAGTCTTTAAAACCCAAGCACAGTAGGGGCGCCTGCGTGGCTCAGTCGGTTAAGTAGCTGACTCTTGATTTCGGCTTGGGTCATGATCTCAGCGTCATGGGATGGAGCCCTGTGTTGGGCTCTGTGATCAGCACGGAGTCTGCTTGAGATTCTCTCTCTCCCTCTCCCCCTCTCCTGCTCGTGCTCACTCTCTTTCTCTAAAATAAATAAATAAAATAAAAAAAAACACAAGTGCAATATATCTCTATTTAATAGGGTTTTTATTTGTTTCATCAGTTTTGTAGTTTTAAGCATTTATTTATTTAAATGTTAGGTAGTTAACATACAGTGCAATATTGTTTTCTGAAGTAGAATTCAGTGATTCATCACTTAGGTACAACACCCAGAGCTCATCATGACAAGTGCCCTCCCTAATACCCATCCACCATCTAGCCCATCCCCCACCCACCTCCCTCCATCAACCGTCAGTTTATTCTCTATCATTAAGAGTCTCTCATGACTTGTTTCCTTCTTTTTCTTTTCCCCTTCCCATATGTTCTTCTGTTTTCTTTCTTAAATTCCACATAAATGAGATCATGTGGTATTTGTCTTTCTCTGATGTATTTCACTTAGCATAATACACTCTAGCTCCATCCACATCATTGCAAATGGCAAGATTTCATTTTTTGGAGGGCTGGGTAATATTCCATATATATATCTTGCATCTTCTTTTATCCATTCATCGGTCGATGGACATTTGGGCTCTCTCCATAGTTTGGCTATTGTTGATAACGCTGCTATAAACATTGGGGTGCATGTATCCCTTTGAATCAGTATTTTTTGTATCCTTTAGGTAAATACCCAGTAGTGCAATTGCTGAATCATAGGGTAGGTCTATTTTTAACTTTTTGAGGAACCTCCATACTGTTCTCCAGAGTGGCTGCACCAGTTTGCATTCCCACCAACTGTGCAAGAGAGATCCCCTTTCTCCCCATCCTCATCAACACCTGTTGCTTCTTGTGTTGTTTTTCTAGCCATTCTGACAGGTGTGAGGTGGTATCTCATCGTGGTTTTGATTTGTCTTTCCCTGAGGATGAGTGACGTTGAGCATCTTTTCATGTGTCTTAGCCATCTTGATGTCTTCTTTGGAAAAGTATCTATTTATGTCTTCTGCCCATTTCTTAACTGGGTTATTTATTTTTTGGCTGTTGAGTTTGATAAGTTCTTTATAGATTTTGGATACTAGCCCTTTATCAGATATGTCATTTGCAAATGTCTTCTCCCATTCTGAAGGTTACCTTTTAGTTTTGTTGATTGTTTCCTTTGCCGTGCAGAAACTTTTTATCTTGAAGTCCTATTTGTTCATTTTTGCTTTTGTTTCCCTTGCCTGTGTTGATGTGTCTAGTAAGAAGTTGCTATGGCCGAGGTCAGAGATGTTTCTGCTTGTGTTCTCTAGAACTTTGATGGTTTCCTGTCTCATGTTAAGGTCTTTTATCCATTTTGAATTTATTTTTGTGTATGGTGTGAGAAGGTAATGCTGGGAATGAGTTGAGAATTAATCCTTCCACTTTTATATACTAGGTTTGTGTAGAGATGATTATTTTTCCTTTAAATTCTTTGGTAGAATTCACCAGTGAGTCCATAAGGTTCTGAAGGGTTTGTTGTTGTTGTGTTGTTTTTGTTTTTTGGAAGTTTCTAAACTACAATTCAGGTGTGAGCTTTGACAGTTTGCATCTTTCAAGGAACTGGAACATTTTATCTCATTTGTTAAATTTACAGGCACAGGGTTGTTCAGAGTATTTTCTTACTATTTTTTAAATGACTGAGGGTATGTAAAGATGTCCTGCTTTCATTCATGATGTTTGCAGTTTGTGTCTTCTCTCTTTTGTTTACTTGGTCCCTAGCTATAAGTTTATTAATCTTATTTATCCTTACAAAGAACCAGCTTTTGGCTTCATTGATTTTCTCTATTCTTTTTTCTTAATTTCTTTTTTTAAAAAATATTTTATTTATTTGAGATTGAGAGAATGAGAGGAGAGCGTGCGAGAGAGTGAGCATGAGCTGGGTGGGGGGACAGAGGGAGAGGGAGAAGCAGACTCCCTGCTGAGCAGGGAGCCTGATGTGGGGCTCAGTCCCAGGACCCCGGAATCATGACCTGAGCCGAAGGCAGATGCTTAACCAACTGAGCCACTCGGGTGCCCCATAATTTCTTTTCTTTTTTTTTTTTTT